AGGACGCATCCATGCCAAGGATGTTTTTGCAGCGGTCATTTTCAATGTTTACAGTACTGCAAATACATCGTATACAATTCGTATGCCTGATGGGGCTATTCCTGCATCCACAAGTTTAATCCTTCGAGACAACTACTTCAGTAAGATGAATCACTTGTACAGTTCAATTTTCACCTTGTTGATTGATTTGCATTGTCTTCCATCTTTCCATAATTTGTCAATGGTCAATCAATCGCATTCATCGTGATGCATTTCATCATCCAATATCAAAATTCAATGTTGAAATTTCCATTGCTCAATTACCTATCTACTCAGTTTAATCAATAATTTAGTCTTGAATGAATCGATAGAAAAAGTTCATTCAATAGTACGGTGATGCGACTGTAGTGAGCGACAAGCGTTTGGACTTGAGTAGACAAGTGCAATTCTTGTTCAAGCAACGATTTAATAAACTGTCAATTTTATTCAACTCAAGAACTGCATGATAAATTGTTAGCTATCCCAGTTTTTATCACCAAGTACTTGCTACCATGATCATACAAAAAGGTTTTCAATTTGAAAAGAATCAATCTAACGTTCAAATGGGCTAAACTTCAAATTTTTTTTGTACTTAGTTTCATTTTGCCGGCGCAACTTAACTGAGAAATATCCATCGATTGCCTGTCCAGTCAATGGTTATTTAAGTTCTGGATTTGCTTTGTTACAGAATGCTATCGACCGTGCTATTACACAAGTAAGTCAAGCATTACACAACATATTCGTACGATATTGTGCATGACTACATCGATTACACTTCACGGAAACAGCAGAAAAATTGGACTTGAGTTAGTTTAGCCATGCCCAATGGATCACTTGTACTATGCGCTGATAGACTCTTCAGATACGACATCGCATTTGAATTCATTTTGCTATCGTCACTCTAATAACTAAATGTATACCCATAGGAAGCCTTACGAATTAGGAACTTTCTGCTTAACTGCCTATGTTCCCATTTTTCTTTTTGCTACTATTTGATTTTGTCTTCATTTCACTTCCTTCGACAGTTTCCACCTTTATTTTCACGCTTAATCTAATTGATAAACAACATTGAAAGTGAACTGGTGTAATATAAATCATAGATAATGAGAGCATTGTTTATATAGCAAGTTCATGCTTGAGTTTTATGGTAGTCTGGTAGGTAAAACAAGGACTGTCAACGTTTTGTAGTGATGATGGCGTTACTTTTTACCTTGCAATGCAACAACAAGTGCAGTGGATGTAAAAAATGATTGCATTACTTAATTTCATAAAATGTTTGTTCTTTCATTCTATAGATAGCTGCTGGTATCCCAGATTCATTCCCAGAATCAAAATTTCAATTTCAGTTAATGCCAAAAGGCAGTTTTACGTCTGGAATTGGGTATCTACAAATTTTTATATCCATCTATTATGTTATGGCATATTCTCCATTTGTCAACTTTTTACTAGTTGGGCTAGTAACAGAGAAAGAGAAGAAGATTAAAGAGGGAATGAAAATGATGGGATTACGTACTACTGCCTTTTGGCTTTCCTGGTTTATAACTTATGCCTTAACTATATTGGTTACTACCATTGTTGTCACCATTATTTCTTCAGTTGCCAATCTTTATAAACTTGCCAATCCATTCATTATTTTTCTCCTCATATTCTTATATGGTTTATCAATTATCACTTTCTCCTTTATGCTTACACCATTATTCAACAAAGCTACAGTTGCAGGAGGTATTGGCTCTCTAGCAACTATAGCATTTACAGCCTTGTACTTTCCGATTACGTTATTGCCAACTACTCCAGTAGCAAAATGGCTTCTTTCATTGCTATCGCCTGTTGCTTTAGCATTAAGTCTAAGTCAGGTCAGTGATTTCTACTCAATCTCGCGTAGTATGATACGCATCAAAGAATAGAATAGCCCTGTATAGTATCTCGCTAAAGGTCAAGTATGCATAAACTAACAAAATTGTTTATCACCGACATGATTATTTGTTAGGCAATCGCATTAGAAACTACAGTGGGTGTCCAATTTAACAATTTATGGGTTGGAGAATTTCCTATCGGTGGTGGTCTTCTGATGCTGGGCATAGATATTTTTCTGTATTTACTCTTAGCAATTTACTTCGATATGATCGTGCCTAAAGAATATGGTCAAACGTATCATCCACTATTTTGCTTTTCTCCATCATTTTGGAGCGGAAACACAACTACTCCTGGAGTAGCTGTTACTGAGTCATCAAACATTAGTAAAAATGCTGATGTTGAAGATATATCTGCCGATTATCGTGGCAAAGAAGCAATAAGGTAGTTTCGTAAATTAGATTTTTTTCTACATGCTGATATAACAAATTATCGTTGTAACATGTAGACACAAATCTTTAACTTTATCAGGATTACTGGAATTACGAAAACATTCATCGATTCTTCCTCGAAAAATAAGAAAGCTTTTAATGCCGTTGATAGTATGTTAAACTTAGAATACTAATAGATCATGAAATCGATTATTGCAAAATTAGTATTTAGAATGGGGACGAATACTGTACAACTGAATGACTCAATGTTTGAAAATTATAGATTTCCATCTGGATGTTTATGAGGGACAAATAACAGCTTTACTAGGACATAATGGTGCTGGAAAAACTACCCTTATTGCTGCTTTAACTGGCTTACTGCCAACAACCAGTGGAACAGCGCATATATATGACTATGATATAAACAAGCCTGAAGAAATGATGAAAATAAGAGAGATTACTGGTAACTGATACATTGATTACGTCATAATTGAGTCGATATGAAGTTCTCATAAATGACATAATAACCTAATCATTATAACAATTATCTCTTATAAGTCTTACTAACCGCTATCAAAGAGCTAATCCATCAAAATAAATAAATACGTCTACTTTTATTCACGCCACTTATAAAGGTGTTTGCCCACAACAAGATATTCTATTCGATACCTTATCGGTTAGAGAGCATCTGGTTGTTTTTGCCACAATAAAAGGAATACCAAATGATCAAATTGATGAGGCTGTGAACAAAACGTTAGATGATATTTTGTTAACAGAAAAAGCATCTACTAGAGCTACTGATCTTAGTGGAGGTCAAAAACGAAAACTCTGCGTCGGTATAGCCTTAATTGGCGATCCAAAGGTAACACAGTGGCAACTTTATGCTGTCCCATTAATTACGTATATCTGCTAGCGAAGGGTTTACATACTGACTTCGATTACGAATGATTGATAAACTACTTTGTAACAGGTTGTATATCTAGACGAACCAACTAGTGGTATGGATCCATTGTCGCGTCGTCAGATTTGGGCACTTTTGCAAAGCCGCCGTGAAGGTAGAGTTACTTTGTTAACTACGCACTTCATGGATGAAGCTGATATCTTGGCTGGTACGTATTTCGTGTCTAATAACCTATGCATGTAATTATCTAAAATTTAGTTATCTAGCATTTGAAGCTATGCCGATAACTTTTGTAATTCTTAGTGTTGTTATGATTAAGGAATTTATTTTCATCTTCTTCACTAGATCGAAAAGCCGTAGTATCAAAGGGCAAATTGCGATGTGCTGGATCATCCCTATTTCTTAAAAATCGTTTCGGAATCGGTTATCATTTAGGAATGGTCGGTAATCAAGATAGTAATATTGATAAGATATCACGGGTAGTCCATGATCATATACCAAAGGCTACCTTACAAAGATCGCACGCCGGAGAAATATCATATCTACTGCCATTATCTGATGTTCGTAACTTCCCTGGTAAGGATTTCTAGAGTCATACATAAATTGGAAATGATGTAAATTAACATAAATGTTAAAGTTAATAGATATCAATATAAATCAATGTTATTCTTATAGATCTCTTTGCTCACTTGGAAAGTCCTGCTAATGAAGGCTCATCCGTTACATGCGCACAAGATTGCGGTGTGTCAAGTTATGGAATTTCAATGACTACGCTAGAAGAAGTCTTTTTAAAATTAAAGGATGATGCTACAGCTGATGACTTGACATCCGTAAATAAATCGCCAATGACTGGAGCTTCTAATGATGAAGAGGGCACCACACATGAGAGCACATTCGATTTCAGAAATATTAATCGCTTATCAGGCAGAGATCTCATTCGACAACAGTTCAAATCGTTGCTAAAGATTCGATTTTTAATTAACCGCCGAGATCCTTTAGCGGTGTTCTTCCGGCTAATGTTGCCTCCTGTGTTTATAATCCTTGGTCTAGTCTTTGCCAATAATATTACTAGCATCACTAATACTCAACGTGATCCTCCGACTATAAACTTAGCGCCGAATCTCTACGTAAATGGAACCCTTCCTCCTTCTCGACTTCTGAATTCTAAATTGTTGATAAGAAATTCCACATTTGGCCAAATCAATTTATTCTTAAGCAATATGCAAGCCTCTGGGCTTTACTATCAAATGAGTAATTTATCAGCTGATTACCTGTTGGATAATTACCCGCATACTTTAGGTTATGATGTACTAACATTACAAAACACTACTGCTGTAAGTTCTCTGTCCATTGCAGTACTTGCATATTGTTTATTACAGTTATGAAAGGGCTTTAAATGAATTTTAATTAATACTGTTTTAGCAGTGTGCTTTCACCGTACTTTTAGAGTCCGTTGATGGTATCCGATTTTTTTTTAAATTAGGGAATATCTTCTGATATTGGTGTAATGTATAACGATACAGCTTTACATAGCATACCTATTGCAATAAATATTATCAATCAGATGAGATACAATATTGAAATGATGAAAAGCAAAGGCACTGCTGCCGGAAGTGCAGCTATTCATGTTGCCAGCAAACCGTTCCCCAAGCTACAATCAAGCGGACAATATAATGCTGGGGCTTTTAGTGCTCCATTATTTATCGGTCTAGCATTGAATATCATTCCAGCAGGATTTGCAATCGAAATTGTTCGAGATAGAAAGGTAAAATTTAAGATATTAGATACCAAAGCTATCGAATGGCATAGGTAGCTGCGCGATTCTCTTAAAACTTCTTGATTTTATAGGTGGATTTATAATCTTATTATCATCGTAGCTGAAATAATTTCTTTTTTCCTCTATTATAGAATAATGTACGCCAATTACTTAGAGCATCTGGTGTGACAAGCGGAATGTACTGGTTCTCTACTCTAGCATGTGATTTTCTCTCGTATTGTGTACCTGTTATTCTTATGCTGATTATGATACCGATCTTAAGAGTTGCCTCATTTACCGTTCCGGCCGCTATGGGAGCCTTATTTTTAACTACTATATCCTACATGTCGTCGAATATCTTGTTTTCGTACGCATCGTCATTCCTATTTTCTTCAGTTGATACTTGCCAATCGGTGCTACCGCCACTCTTTAACCTTGTAAGTTTAACTGTTATCTCACTGTTGGGTATTGAATATAGGTACTGTATCAGTTACATTTTTTATATTAAGCTTATTAACCTACTTTACTAGGCCCTTTTATTGCCAACTATTGGCGTTTCTATGCTAGACATGTTCGGACAAACCCAAATTGCGTTAATAATTCATTTTGTTATGGTTGTGATAAATCCTGTTTATCCAATTGGTGGAGCGGTATATTACATTGGTCAGGTATACATGCTTCAATTTATCACCTTTTTCCATAATGTTTTAATAATCTTCAAGTTGGTTTCTGTCTTAGTAATGATAAACGAATATTGTAAACAATAGGTATAGCCGCCATTTTTTTGAACAGTACCTTAAAATGATATTCTTGAAACGTTGCAGGTTTATGCTAGACAAATTTTCATATCTGATGGAAAACCGATCTCGGCTAATGCGTACTTCAGTCCCTCAAGTCCTATTCCTTATTGCATCCTCTTGGTAAGTAAATTTTATAAATATTCAACGTTGTAAGCTAAAGATTGCTAATGCTTTAATTGAAGTGGTGTATCTCTCGTCTTCAAAAAATTCTCGCCAAATTCTAACGTTAAAGTTACGAAAATTTTTGATAGATCTAGATTTTATACTTAAAATCGGTTGTAGAGATTATGTATTACTAATGTCCGTGGTAATTTCATGAGAAAAAACATCACTGTATTGAACTTAGTATACTATTAAAGAATAACTGTTGCATAAGCACATAGACACTTTCGATTTGCATAACAAGTGCAGCATATTTTAAGTCGGTTGGTCGTAGCTGTACAAATTTTATCACCTGTTTACTTAGTAAATCGCTATCATTACACATTATCCAACTTTAACCGTGTTGTGCAAGGCAATCAAATGTAAGAGCCTAAGTGTTCATTGTAGAATATAACCTTAGAGCTTATTACGTACTATGATTTCTGAAATATATCATGTCATTGTTATCGATATATTATATGGTTTGGCCTATGGTTTTGATCGATTTTAGTTTTTGTTCATGTTTTTAATCCTAAGCGTAGATCCGTGTTGTATTCTGTTTTATGACTTAATCACTCTTTAAATGATTAAAACCATATCCTCGTAATTAAGGAACGGCCAAGCGTAACTAACTTTAAATGCCGATTATTGCTATTTTCAGCCAATTATACATACGATGTTGCTAGCGTATCTATTACGCTATCTAGACTACAAGAACACCGGATCCACTGATTCTCCAGGATTCTGCTAGTAATATTTACTATTATTTGTAAATAGAATTAATCTACAATAAATCATACTAATATCAATCATGTTGTATTTAATTCTCTAAAGCTCAAAAAATACGACCCAACCAAGTTCTGAAGTAACAGATGCCACAGAATTGATTAGTAATGCAGCGTCGATGTCAGCTGATGATGATGTTCGAGATGAATATCAACGATTGAAATCCTCATCGAGTGGCAACGATGTGCTATCGGTACGGCATCTACGCAAAGAATTTATTAAGCGCCCTGATGTTAATGACAAGCGAACGGGATGCTGTAATGTAGAAAAAAAGAAAATGGTACGGAATAGCAACATTTAAAGAGCTAGTTTATGATCTGAAACCATTATTACGCTACGTAGAGATATATTTTTTAATAGCAAAAGCGTAAAACTAGTTTATACGTAAGTTAAAAATTTTTTGATTTAATGTAAGGCTATATCTAATTTTATTTTGCGAAGCAGATTAGAATTTCGACGGTAGCTTATTTTAGGTAGCACCGTTATATAGTTAGAGTAGCTGACGCTTTACATCTGTGTGCGTGTGTATTTCATTAGCTAACTCATTTTGTAGTAAAATGCTAAAAGCCTTTAATGTTCTTGGTCGTGGATAGGCTGCCGTGGAAGATTTGTACTTTGGTGTAGCCCCTGGTGAAGTTTTTGGGCTTCTTGGGCCTAATGGTGCAGGGAAAACGACTACACTGAATATTATCACTGGCGACATGTCAGCCACTAGAGGCGAGGTAAAATACAGAGCAGTTTATTTTTCATAGTTTGAGTTTTTACCATGTGTCGTTCTATTGAAGCTTAGACGTTAAATTTCAAATTATCTAGGTTTGCATTGCTGGGCAGGAGTTAGCTTCAAATATTACACATGCTCTAAGAAGTCTAGGTTTTTGTCCACAACATGATGCTTTATGGGAACGCGTAACCCTCCATGAACATTTAACTACATATGCAGCCATTAAAGGAATTCCACTAGATCAAATCGAAGGTGCTGTCAGCAGGTTACTATGCCGGACTTGTAATAATCGCATTACAATGAAGTTTACTGGCGACCAATATTAATTTGAAATTCTAATAGATTTATTTCAGGAATGGACCTTCAGGATCATAGAGATAAATTTTCCAAGAATCTTTCCGGCGGAACTAAAAGAAAGGTAAAATTGCTTGCTGTACAGAATCCGAATACTAATATATGTGTTATTTTGTAAATGATTAAATTTAAAGTTTTTATTATACCCGGGTACAATGTATTTTAGTTAAGTTTTGGAATGAGCATTATCGGTTGTCCGAAATTGTTATTAATGGATGAGCCATCGACTGGCTTGGATCCTGGTGCCAAAAGATTTTTATGGTTAGTTTCACACTTGTTTGTACGTACATATGATTGTCCAAGTTATGCCCACCACATATGCAAAATTGGTTTTGTATTGTCAGGAATGCTATCAGTGCCAGTATTACAGGAGAGACTGGAGCCGTGATCACTACACATTCAATGGAAGAAGCGGACGCTTTATGTTCGAGAGTTGGTATCATGGTTGGTGGACAATTACGGTGAGATCTTACTTCTTGATGGGTTGAAACTATTTAATCTTACAGACGGATTAGCTAGTGTAATGAAATCGTTACACATTTTTCGACTTTTAATCGTTTTTAGTTGTCTGGGATCAACACAGCATCTGAAGAATAAATACGGTGGAGGATATCATTTGGATGTGAAATTTTCATTAGATGTAGTAGGAAGCAACGGTATAAATCAATTGAACAATATCACTGACTTTGTGAAGAGGGCATTTCCCACTTCAGTACTTGGAGAGCATTTCGGCCATCGTGCTACATACAAGATACCGTCGGATGATATAAAATCATTAGCGAAATCATTCGCTTCTCTTGAACAAGGTATAATAGTTCAGGATATTGAAAGCACTTGTGTTGCAAAGCGGTAAATTAATATTGCAGTTGTGATGTAAATCGAATGATCATATGCTGAATTTACTTTTAGGCAAGTCGAAAGTTGGAATTGTAGAGTACAGTTTTAGTCAGTCAACACTGGAGCAGGTAAGTTTATCTGATGGTGTAACAATTGAAATTATGATGGTTATAATGCAATATTTTATATTCGTACATTTTATTAGGTATTTTTGGAATTTGCAAAATTGCAAGAAGATCATCATGACAAAGATGAATCGGAAGAGAGTGCTACTAGAGGAGATATGCTTGTGTAGCCGTCATATTTCATTGGAATGTTTTGCTACCAAATTTAGCAAAAAATTAATTATTTGTAAAGATACTATGGCTTTTTACCCTTGGAAAAATATGAAATATATTAAGCAATGTTGTTCTCAATACATAACTTGGTGTACTATCGGTGTTACATATGTTCGCATCCAAGTTTTCATTTTTTACGTTATGTGCTCATTTTTAAGTTGCACAATTCTACCCTTATTAATCTTTTAATTACTTTTTGCTTGCGCTAGTATACTTATAGTTTTTTGTTTTCGAAAAATCGTTATTTAGTCAAAATTCAACGTTTTACCATTTGGACCACGCGAGTCCAACTTCAACAAAATAATATTTGGGTTCATCGTTTTTGTTAAAATTTTCAGCTGAATTAAGAGCTCTTGAAATTAAGAGTAGATTTCCTTAAGTTAAGCAGCGTTTAAGTTAATGAAAACTTATCAATTTACGTTCGATTATAGTAAATTAGCTAGTGTGGATTATGCTCTAGATTCAAGTATAAAATTATGATATTTTAGGTTAAATATTTTTAGTAAATTAAGCAGTGATTAACAAATAGTTAATGAACGGAAATAAAGTAGTTATACTTGGCCGAATTGATTAAAATTCAACTCATTGTCGTTTATTGCAACAGCCAGTGTATACCCGCTTTGCATATCTTAATCAAATTGTAACATGGTAGGGTAGAGATGAAAAAATTCTATTCATGTAAATGATATCTCTTCTGTAAGTTCTTATAAGCCTACTGTGGAACGTAAGCGTTAATTTAATCTATGCTTGAAAGATTATTATCACAATATAATTCCCGTTCTGGCACTTTGTCTGGTAGGCATACTCTTAAAGTTCGGTCAATTTTTTAACACCTTAACTTTGCAACCGGCTACATACAAGTGCGTTAATGTAAAATTTTCCTGGTATTAAGAATTTTTTGGGAGTCGGGGTAATATAATATGCGTAGTAGATCTCCTAAGTTGGCAAATATCGAATTTATGTTTTCCGGTATAATATAGGAAAGATAGCTGTTGTATATCAAACAGTTTCACTGCGATCGAAAAAGAAATTATGAAAGAATACTAATTTAGATTATAAAGAAGCCCTTTAGGAGGATACCCTATTTTGTCACTATTTATCGATGTAATGAGCAGCAATTGTATTACTTGGCGATCATCGAACCGTTACTATGGACGTAACTTTACCGTGGGTTTTACATGTATTTAGCTAAATGCAATACAATAGATTTGTTTAATACTTGTGATCGTCCATGAAAATAATGGTCGCTATATTAAAAGTTCTAACGTTTGATCACAACCAGTACAAAATGATATGATCAACCGAAAAATCGATATCATTATAATAAATATCAAATCGGGATCATGTCTGCCATTCAGTGATTGATAGTACAACAGATAGAAACAGATCCTTAATTTAAAAGTGAAAATTAATAGTCTATCTCCATATATAGATCGCTTAATAGATTAATCAAGTAAACTAGAGTATAGAAATAACGAGGATTTCTTGCATTACGTCATGATTAAATTATAATATTAACAAAATTCCTGGAGCATATGGTCTAATCTCTGACGTAATAATAATAACCTCACCCATTCTGCTAGTAATAATACTTATATTAATCACGTACCGTCACTTAATTTATGCTTAGCCAAGATTGTTATTAATATTAGCACTGCCTACCGTGATCGTATGATTTACTCATTTACTGGTCTATAAGAGATGATTTTATTCTATTTTAATTTATGAAGGGTGTTAGCTACGAATTACCAATAGTGAGTCACAACATTTAACGGATTTTTTTACGACTATAGCTGATAAGTAAATGGATGGATGGATCTCGTTAACTTAAACTAGATTGGAAATTACATCTTCGTTGGATAACCCATTTCTGCGCTTAACTCTTATATTATATCGGTACATCGTAAGTGGTAATCAATCATTGAGTTTGAATATCATTTGACCTTAAGATCATAATTTGAAAAGAAGCCAAGATGTGGCTAATTTGGAAGCAAACCAAATGCCTTACGTATAAAAACTTTCTTATCAAGAGAAGGGATAAAAAGCAATTCCTTCAAGAATTGCTATATCCAATCTATTTAATTTGTATCGTAGCAATCATACGAGCATTTATTAAACCAAGGCATTATCCAGTGATTCAACATTTTCCACAATTTTCTATGGGTAACGTTACACTACAAGTTAATGATAGTTATAGCTTGCTTTATGCTCCCAACGATAATCCCAATATTATCAAGTTAATAAATCATACCAATGCATTACTTGGTCTAAACAATCCCCCTCTTGGGTTTGCTAATGATTCCGAAATTGAACGATATTATACGACTGGTTCCAATCATCAATATGTTTATGCTGGCGTGATCTTTGATAGCTTTAGTCTTTCTAACATCTCTTATACACTGCGTATGGCTGATCACTTAGTTCCATCAACAGCTGAGCTTGTTCTTACTGGTGATAATCTAGGTAAATGTCTGGATATACCTTTTTTAAATCATGCTTCGAATTTCAGTCATTACTGATTTGCTATGGACAGTTAGGAGTAAATTTTCAGTTATGGCTAAATTTTGATAGTCTACAGCACACCTACAAGATTTGATAAACCGTCTTCATTTACTATAATCATGTGTAAGCTGAAACAGATTTCGTTGACTTTACTATCTGTAAGGCTAATGTTCCATTTACCATCTAACTATTATTTCATTCAACAAAACTAGATTTCTGTAACTAGAATTTCTTTTTATAATTTTAAAATAAGCTAGAAATACATCGATATTATTAATGTACGTACCTACCGTATGTTACTTATAATGAACATTCTATAGTAAAGGAAAATCTTTTACTAATGTTTGTAGTTTTACAAATAATTTCAATTCACACAGTCGCATGTGTAATGTGAAATGCTTATGCCTAAATAGTTTTGATCTATCTTTCCCTAATGAATGCAGGTTTACAAATAATTTCAATTTATATAGCTGCATTCGCATTGTTAAATTTTCCGGTCTAATTACTTTTATAAATTCACACTCAGTTCCGTATATTAAGGGGATTAGTTTTTATAATAACTGTAGTAATAAGAATAAAACATCGAACACTCCTTGCCGCTCCTCAAATCATAACATTTTTATAAGATTGGTTTAATACAGTAGCTACCAATCATTCATCTCTAATGACAACTAATTTTAATAATTGAACTGATATCTTTACGTAAATTTATCGCTTACTATTTTGATAAAAACTTATGTAGGCATAATACGGCAGCTAATAATCGAAAATATTTCTATTAGTAGCAAATTCTAAACCGATAATTTTCCTTGCATATACTAAAGTAGTATGACATGTTAATAAGCTAGAAATAGTATACTAGCTACGAGTACCTTTTACTACATCTATAGCAAATGGGGCTTTATATTCTTCATCATGTTAATAACTTTTTACAAATTTTCCCATTTTACTATAATGAATAATCAGAAAGTCTGCTATTCATAGCAAATGTAGTATTTGAGACTTCAAATTTAACAAATGCTATTCTCAAATATCTACGATTCGATGTACTGATAATATTTAACTTTGGATAACAGTTATATTAGTGTCATCTGCCATAAGCATTAATTATGATTAATTATATGTTGGTGCCGATACCATTTTCTAGCATCTTGTCGTTCTGAATTAAACAATACAAATCCGTCAAATGATTGCCCTGCAAATAGATATTTATCTTCGGGCTTTGCCTTACTCCAAAATGCAATCGACACATCGATCACACAGGTAAGATTTAGTAACCTATCATAGGATATAATGAATGAATACCAGATCCCTATACTCTCCAGTTAGGATTAGTTTAGCATATTATGCTATTAATTTCACTATTTTGTTAAAATTACTGATTTAAGCAAGTAACATGAAGGCATCTTTATTAGTGACCCAATTTCTAGTTATAAGTTATCATTGCAATTTATCATTACATACTTTCGTTGACTTTTAAATGATAAATAACATTATCACTTTGATAATATAAAAATCAGTATAACTACATCTAGTGCTAATTTACATAAAATTCACAAAATTGCACTAAAATTAGTGCAATTTGCAATTAGAAGTATTTTTAATCCGTAACTGTATTGCGTCCTTGTTCACCATTTTGATATAATATACTGCTGTGAAAGGTAGTTTATTTTTCTCGATTCTGAATTGAAATTAACATTATCTAGTCTTGCTAATAGATTAATTGTGGAATAAAATTAGTAACGGTTTATTGGGCCAAATAGATGTTTTAGTTAAGTTAGATCATGTTGTAGAAATATTCAACAACGAGTATTGTGAATATTGAGAGTAATCATATATCTCTCCTAAAATCGTTAGATCTACACTAATCTTGGTGAGGATCTCCCGCAATCTAAATTCTTATTCCAACTTATGCCTAAAGAACCTTTTATTGGTGGTGTTAGTTACGTTCAAACATTTGTAGCTATTTACTGTGTGATGGCATATGCGCCCTTTGTCAATTTCTTATTAGTGGGAATGGTCACAGAGAAAGAGAAGAAAATTAAGGAAGGAATGATGATGATGGGACTGCGGACTGCTGCCTTTTGGCTATCGTGGTTTATAACTTATGCTTTAACTATTTTATTATGCACTATCTTCGTCACAGCTATTGCTATGGCATCTTCCTTATATATTACTAGTAACCCCTTTCTCATCTTTATGATCATCTTCTTATATGGACTATCTATCATTACATTCTCATTTATGTTAACGCCTTTCTTCAATAAGGCAACTGTTGCTGCAGCGGTTGGTTCAATGTCTTCCATTGCTTTTGCAGGACTTTATTTCTTAGTTACACAATTACCAACGCCTCCTGTAGCTAAATGGCTAATGGCTTTACTTTCACCAGTTGCCTTGGCCCTAACTTTGAGTGAGGTAAATCTGCATTTACATTTATTCAATTTTCAACAATAGTTATGCAAATACTGTAACCTTAATTGGATAATAACATTTATCAATATAGGCAACTGTCTTAGAAACAACAATTGGTGTTCAATTTACCAACTTAAACGTTGGAAAGTTTCCAGTTGGTGGTGGTCTACTTATGTTGATCTTGGATACATTCTTATACTTGCTATTAGCCGTCTATTTCGATATGGTTCTACCAAAGGAATATGGCCAGCAATATCATCCGCTCTTTTTTCTTTTTCCCTCTTTCTGGAGGCAAAGTAAAGGTTCAGATTCCATTGATGCTGCTGTAAATACTCAAAATGGCTTAAATGAGGATATAGAAGATACGGATTTATCTACTGATTTCAATGGTAACGGTATTAGGTAAGGCTAGATTAATTCCAATTTATAACCTGATCTATTTATGTCCTTAAAGCCTTAAGCTACCGTATAATCATATCTTAAATTGTATCTTAAATTTGTTAACTATAGGATTGCAGGGATAACTAAGACTTTCATCGATAGATCATCCAAAGAACGGAAAGAGATAAAAGCCGTCAATAGTGAGTTTTGAGGAAATAAATAAAGTCTTCATAACATGACCATGGATTAGTGTTCCATAACTCACGAATTTTTTTCCATAATAGATTTTAATCTTGACATCTATGAAGGTCAAATAACAGCACTACTGGGTCATAATGGCGCAGGAAAGACAACGTTAATTGCGGCCCTTACTGGCTTGCTACCAACAACACAGGGAACTGCTTATATCTATAATTACGATATTAATAAGCCGGAAGATATGATGAAAATACGTGAAATAACAGGTACGAGTATCAATAGCAATTAAATTCTATTAGGTAAAATCCTAAAGGTCAAACTGATTTTATAGTGAATTGATTGAATCTGAAATAATTGATTTGAAGGCTGGCTAAAAATTTGTAATTACTAGTAAAATTACTTCCAGAATAAGGCCTTTAGCGTACTGTTGACGTATTGGAAGTCTAGAATTAAACTTAAAGTGATATATACTTTTTAATACCGCGACCTATTTTCTGATAGGTGTATGCCCTCAGCAGGATATTCTATTTGATACTTTGACGGTTCGAGAACATTTAAAGGTTTTTGCTACTATTAAAGGAATATCAAATGATCAAATCGATGCTGAAGTTGATAAGACATTAGATGATATTTTATTAACTGAGAAGGCTTCTACCCGAGCAACTAATTTAAGTGGAGGCCAAAAACGAAAGCTTTGTGTTGGTATCGCTATCATCGGTGATCCTAAGGTAACGTCATCGTTATTCTGAGTCCAAATTGTCATTTATGACCGTGTTTTAGGGAGCTACAGGTTATCATAGCATGTAAAGTATACTTCAGATTGTAGCCACAGCTATTGTACCTAATAAAGCCGCATACAATGCATAAAACAATATTAACTACCTTTAAAATCTACGTGTATGTATACAATATATATAGACTATATGCAATGGACCTCAGAGTAGATTGTTACATATGGTCTATTTCATAAATCAAAGCGATCATTTTAAATTATTAACAACAAATTGAGTAGAAAAGGTCAAGAAATTAACTCTGAAAGTATCCAAATTATGGCGTAAAATTGAAATAATAGTTAATGCCAGTATTAACTATTAATTAATCGTATTTTTAAGTTTTAGTAATACTACTGGTACTAACTCATTTTAACTTTACCGATACTTGAAATAAAAGGACTTAAAAATAATGAATTACCGTACAAATACTGTAATTTTAACGACAATTTATCTATCTGCTATTTATTAGTAGCAGTTACTGGTTTAGTACTATTCGAACTAGCATCATAATGTAACAATCAAAGTGATAAAATTAAATAATTAGGGAATTTATACATACTGTGAATCATTTTATAACAAAATATGAAGATCTTTACCTAAATTACTAAATCACGCTTATAAATACACGAACGATATCGAATAGTATTATAACATTTATGTAATCTAAACTGCAAAATCTTCTGAGTCTATTTACTGCAGCGGCAACTATAACGTACACAAATCATGTGCCATCGTCTTTAATCCGTCAAAAAAAGGCTTTAATTTAAAATTTAAAATTTATTTAGGTTCTTCTCATAAATTAACCAGGAAATCATTGATGAACATTTTGTATAAATATTTAAACTGTCGTATTTTAGGTCGTCTATTTGGATGAACCAACAAGTGGAATGGATCCGCTATCCAGACGGCAGATATGGTCTCTATTACAAAGTCGACGCCAAGGAAGAGTGACTTTATTAACAACCCATTTTATGGATGAAGCAGATATTCTAGCGGGTTAGTTGTTATTAAATTAACCCATAGGCTATTAAATTTATTTTTTTACAATTATTCTAAGTCGAAGCAGGTTTAAAGTTAATGTTTTAAGAGCCAATTAACGTATATGATAATAAAACGAACTGCCATGTCTAGTAATAATACTAAATAGACTTCAATCTTCATGATAATATAATAGATCGGAAAGCAATCATCTCAGCTGGTAAGCTTCGGTGCGCTGGATCTTCACTCTTTCTAAAAAATCGATTTGGGATAGGATACCATTTAGGAATGATAGCAAGCCCAGATAGTCAAATAAGCAATATTACACAGTTAGTTAAATCTTATATTCCTCACGCAAGCCTATGCAGACATAACGCGGGAGAACTTTCTTATTTACTTCCTTTATCAGACGTATTTCGATTTTCAGGTAGGTTGGATAGGATTCATTAGGCCTTTCTCTTTTTATAAGCAATTTATTAGTAGTTATTTAGCATTCGTTTTAACCTTACGATCCTACTAGATCTATTCCGCCAGTTGGAAAGTCCTGATACCAATAATGAAGTTAAAACACGAGCTCAAGCTTATGGAATCACAAGCTACGGAATATCGATGACCACGTTAGAAGAGGTTTTCTTAAAACTTAGAGAAGATAATTTAAATACTGATTTAACATCCTTAACAAACAATTCAATACAAAAAGACGACCAGCATTCAAAACTGGAAGCCAATCAATTTGATTTTCAATTAACTCGACGACTATCTACTGGAGCCCTTGCTCGTCAACAAACTTTATCCTTATTAAAGATTCGATTGCTTAATAATTGTCGCGACCCGTTATCTATATTTTTTCGCTTTTTCTTCCCACCCGTATTTATTATCCTTGGCTTAGTCTTTGCTAATAGTATCGCTAGCATAACAGAAATTCAGCGTCATCCACCAGCACTAAAATTAACACCAGAACTTTACCTTAACTCCACAAAAACCATTTCACAGCAACTCTATTCTAATTTAATATTAAAAAATTCAACTAGTGGGTCTATTAGCGACTTGTTGGCTTATGTGCATCAAATGGGAATTTATTATCGACTGAGCAATTTATCTGATCAGTACCTACTTGAAGATCGACCGCATACGATCGGCTATGATATCATACAATTTCGAAATACTTCTAAAGTAAGTAAATCCTACTAAGATAGCAGTAAATCTTCTCCTTAATATGTCGGTATTTGGATACAATATACACACGTATATTTGGTTAAAGAGCACCTTATAGGTTATAGATATAGTTTACGCAGGTGCTTAAACCGGACGTTATCAGTTATGTAACTTATTCTTATTCATTCTAGCTGCACAGCTTATTCGTTGAGTATAGTAGTAATCAGAATGGGTACTATGCATTTTATACAAGATATTCAGACATTTAAATACTGATACGGTAAAATAGCATCTCCAGCGCTCTTTGCCTATCATTTTCTTGATCCTGCTTGGAATAGTTCAAATCTTATTGCGTGGAACTTAGAATTTATAATGTATCTAAGTAACAAGACATTTTCCAATATATAATAATTACCAATTCCAATCTTATTTTATGAGTAGAGCTTGTGTATAAGTAACGGTTAATTTCACCTGTAAATAAGTAAATTAGATGTAGATGATATATATAAACTTTTTAATAACTAGTTCGAACCTTGCTTTATGTGTAAAGCTTGTATATAAATAAACATTAATTTCGTTAATAAATAAGCAAATTGAACATATCTGATCTGTATCTAAACCTTTCAATAACCAATTCGAATCTAATTTTATGCGTAGGGCTTCTCCTCTTATGTAAATATAAAGTTTAATGATACTGCTGTTCATAGCATCCCTATTGCAATGAATCTGATTCATCGTATCAGATTCAAGCAGGCTATGTATATCCATCGAGGTACGGTCGTCCATGGAGATGTCCTTTCCATCTCTAGCAAACCATTCCCTAAGCTTACTGTCAGTGGACAATTTAACCAAGGATCATTTAGCTCACCATTATTGATTGGATTAGCATTGAACGTTATACCTGCGGGATTTGGCATCGAAGTTGTACGCGATCGTAAGGTAAAAATGATTTAAGCAAAAGCAATATTTAAAGAGTTAAGTCTACACTTGCGTGTAATGATACTAATTAATTTACTTCATCTCTTCAATAGCATAATATTCGCCAGCTGTTAAGAGCATCGAGTGTGAGCAGTTTAGTCTATTGGTTATCCATGTTCGCTAGCGATTTTATATCATTTCTATGCCCCGTGATCTTAATGTTGATTATTATTCCGATCGTGAACGTACCGTCGTTAACTATTCCTGCAGCAATGGGAGCCCTCTATTTAGCAACGATAACTTACATGTTTTCTAATATCGCATTGGCTTATGCAATTTCTTTCATGTTTTCATCTGTGGAGACATGCCAATCTGTCTTGCCTATTTTCTTTAACCTAGTAAGTAGATCTAGAATTACACTTATGAATGATTTATTGATCGTTTGAACTGATTTAATATTTTCTCTGCTTCTATTAGGCATTTCTATTGCCAACTATTTGCGTTTCGATGCTAGATATGCTTACTCAGCCTGTTTACGGTTTGATTTTTCATTATATCTTTTTGATCCTTAACCCTGCATATCCTATTGGTGGAGCAGTTTATTATATTAATCAGGTAACATTTTCTACTGAGTTTTATTTTCCTCTCGGCTGCACTATTCGGGATAAATTAAGTACTGGTTAATTAATAAATCTATTTAAAATTCATGTACAAAAAGTAGAATCAGATTTTGCGCTCAATGCATATCATACCTAAAATCTTTCGAAATTTACAGATATATATGAAACAAATTTATTTGCCCCGAGATCAACCGATTCCAGCGGGCTCCTATTTTAGCTTTTCTAGCCCTGTGCTATACTGCATTTTAATGGTGAGTTATGAAATTGTTGAGGAATAATTACATCTTTCAAATCTTTGTTTAATTCCGTGCAAAAATGATATATATTTTCACCGATATCTTTGCAGCCAATCGTTCACATCATAGCCTTATCCTATCTATTATGTTATATGGATAGCAAGAATGCTAGCTCCACAGAATCCTATGGATTATGCAGGTTACAATACGCTAATTTAGAATGGTTTAATTTTATTCTGCAATGACATGTTCTGAACTAATAAATATTTAATGATAGGTGAAAATAACGCGCGAAAGCTCTGTCATTAATATTTTACCAACAAATCTGGTTGAATTTTGTAGGAAATTAATGCAGAGATATCAGCAATTACCATCATCAGCATCGTCTATCTGTGAAATTGCAAGTTTAAATAGCAATAAAGCTTCCATGTCCGAAGATGAAGATGTCAGAGAGGAATGCCATCGAATAACTACATCCAGTAGTAGTCAAGATGTTTTGAGAGTTCAAAATTTACGAAGAGAATTTATTAAATATTCTAATATGGATCAGAGACAACCAGGATTATTTCATCAAGAGTCAAGAAAAGTGGTATAACTCAAATATTAAAAATAAACTCTATACGCTGTAGAATATCGTACGCTTAAATTTAATGGCTTTATCAATAATTCAATATTAGGCTTCTGTAGAAGATCTCTGTTTTGGTGTTGCACCTGGCGAAGTTTTTGGATTGTTAGGACCAAATGGAGCTGGAAAAACGACGACATTGAATCTAATTACCGGTGATATGCCGGCTACACTAGGCAATGTTAGTTTTGCCAGACTAGATTAATGAAATCTCTTCATACTTCATAAATTAACAGTGCTTCATCATGATTCTAATTTATTGATTCTTACCATTTAGATTTCCATTGCTGGATATAACTTAAGAAATGAAACTACCTTAGCGTTAAGAAATTCCGGATTTTGTCCTCAAATGGATGGGCTATGGGAAAGGATTACACTTACAGAACATTTAACGACTTATGCTGCCATCAAGGGTGTTCCAAAAGAGTGTATTCAAGATGTTGTAAATAGGTTTGGTTCTAGCAAATTTTAAGAGTAGATTAATTACTGCTTATAAGATGATTATTTTTTAATTCTTAAGAGTAGCAAAGAACCTTACCTGCTTTGTTATGTTATATTTAAAGTAATGATACTTCAAAAACCACATATTTAATTCTATATACCGTTTTGTACGGTATTCATATTTGTCGAAAATCATTATAGATTTATTGATGGAATGAATATTCAGGAACATACTAATAAGTATTCTAAAAATCTATCTGGAGGAACAAAAAGGAAGGTAGATTTAACGTATTTAGAATTAATTTGTCTTTCTTAATTTATTTCAATCTATCGTAGAAATGATACGAGTAAAAGGAGGATAGTTACAGTTCTATTAGCACACGCCTAAATAGTAGTTTATAGCGTAATACCTATTGCAAAGATTTCCACTATTTTCAATTTCTTTTAACTGTCACGTATGAGCATGAACAAGACAGTAAGTGTTTATGCAATGCGTATCACATTATACCATTCAAATATTAGTTGCTCTTGTTACAAAATATTTATCAAAACGTGACTAGTATGCAATAGTAGATAAAACTTCACGATCATTTCATTCAAAACAAGGCAATATACTTACTTGCTATGATTTTACTTCCTTAGTTAAGCTTTGGAATGAGTGTCATTGGTTGTCCTCGACTGCTACTTATGGACGAACCCTCAACGGGTATGGACCCAGGTGGTAAAAGATTCTTATGGCAAGTATTTCCGCAACTTTCCAGTGTGTTACCGCTTTGTAATTTAACTAGTATTGTGATTGTAGACTGTTAGCCATGTTTAGTATAATGTTGTCACAAAACAGCTTTCGTGAACGTACCTAAAGTATTCTATCTACTCTTATGGTTCTCCGACTAACTCCGCAGATCCTCAGTAAGGGAAAACTAACTTATTCCTATACTATAGTAATCAAGTCAAAACGATAGGTTTAGGTTAATAAAGATCTTTATTGCTAGCTTGCTTACGCTTGTACCAGTGTACCCTACGTTAGCCTCAGTGGAACTGAGATTAAAAAGTAATGATCAGGCTTATATACAGTTTCATATGTCACACAAATAAGATCGGTACTAATCTTTCACATTAAATTATAGAATGTGCAATACAGATCCATACAGGCTTACTATAGATTCGACTAGCTCGAGTGTTACTTATCACTTGGCACAAATTAATATTATTAATTAGAACCTTATTAACTAACATAATAATCTTTACAGCTTGAGATTTTAATTGCTAACACCATATCCATGCTGTATATTACTAGGATAATTAATAACAAAAGTCAATTAACAACTAGATTGTTGCCGAGATCGGCAACCTCCATAATAATATTGTTACATATATTAGATCAAAATATTATTCATTTCGGAGCGAGCTCCGTCACAAATGTACGGTAGATATTTATCCTAAGAGATAATTGGTAGCTATAACTATAGTCTGTAGTGGTATAGATTCTATGCTAGAGTACAGATGACTATATACAGTAAGCTGTTGAGTAACTAATAAGGCTATAGGTAAAAATAGAACTGTAAATCATATATTAGGATATGGTTAATTCATTTTACTTTTGGTTGGTGTGAATAATGTCTGCGTAAGTACTGTAGTCGTATCCATATTGGATTAATGATGGTCCGCAGTAGAATAGTCTTACTAAGAATAATTTAACTATGTGTAAAATAAAGTAAAAGGTTGCCATGCGGATTGTAGCTGCGAATGCTACGGAAAGTATAAAAGCATGCAACCTTAGATTATTCTGTTAGTTCGTTGTAGAAGTCTTTAGTAGTAGTATTCGGCTAGAGTAGAGCTGTGTGTAGTTAATCTTTGTATAAGATTCAATAAAGCCCTTATTTTTCTAAAATTTAGAATTTCGTGGTTGATATATACCACACACTTTTGCGTAAAATAAGTATAACACATCACCTATACTATTAATAATTAGGAATGCTATTAAAGCAAGTATTTCAAGTGATACTGGAGCCGTTATTACTACACATTCTATGGAGGAAGCCGATGCTTTATGCTCGCGCGTGGCTATCATGGTGCGGGGCCAATTACGGTGTGGAAAATATCATAATAACGATATCTAAATCTATATCTATGTTTATAAATGTTTATAATAATAGCTATAAGGAAAATAGTTTTAATTATGTCTGTATCTATATCTATCCAAATATTTAAAACAACTATATGGAAAATATCTAATTTAATAGCTAGAGATTCCTATACCTTGTACTACAGCATATGAGACACTCACCTATTTCAATATCAGTATTTCTAATATTTATATCTTAAATCCATAAGTATTAGTATTCCCCTCTGAATACTTATACTTACGCTAATTTCATCTAAATATGTCTAAATTGAACAGTTAAAATTTCCTATACCTTTAGCTGCAGTATTTAAGATATTCATATATCTTTATATTGGCATTTTTAAATCCAAGAATTAAATTTGTATTATGCTCTGAATATGTTTAATTGTAGTTGCCTTGGTTCTACGCAACATTTGAAAAACAAGCATGGTGGTGGATATCACTTGGAAATTAAATACGCATCGAATGAAACAAATGCACATCAAGAAAGAGATTCATTCAATAGAGTCAATAATTTCGTTAAAACAGTCTTTCCAAATGCAGCCATCACGGAACATTTTTCTCACCGAATTGTCTATAAGATTCCATCATCTAACGTGACTTCGTTGGCAAATTCCTTTTCTTCATTAGAAGCAGGTCTTTAATGTTATTATATAAAATTTTATCAACCATTTGTAGTATAACGCTTACTCAATCATCCGTAATGGCTAATTAATCATGTATCCTGATCATTTATAGATTTATAGCCTAGTATCACCTTAGATTAATTTCTCTGATAAAGACTTTGATTATTTACAGCTTTTATTGATCTTATATCTATTACTTGGTATTTTATGTAGATAAAACCAAAGTTGGGATAGTTGAATATTCCTTCAGCCAGTCTAGTCTAGAACAGGTTAGCATGACAACTGATTAATTTTAAAAAACTAAAACTAAACTATGTATAATATTCTTGACCGTAATATAATGCAATGATTTTGATTACAATTCTGAATGAATGCAGGTCTTTTTGGAATTTGCTAAGAAGCAAGAAGATAAAGATGAAGTATCAAGATCTCGTACAGGAACCAGTAATGATATTATAGTTTAAAAAATTGCTCAATTTCATATGAAAGGATAACAAAAGCCCTTGCCTTTTGACAGCATATTATCATATGTAAAAAGCATTTATTTTAGTTAACACAGAGAAAAAAGCCTTATAGATTAGTTATTATTTTATTTACGTTTCTGTGTAATTGTACATTCACTGTCCTGATTGCATAGATTTCATAATTTGAGTATTTCGATACTCATATCTGAAATAAAATGGCTATCGAGCATTTTATTTTTATGCGATGTAATTTAGCAGCATGAAATGGTAATATAGTAGACTAATGGTGAATTTTACAAAATATAAGGTAAACATGTTGCTAAACTACCGGTGTATCTTGAATTATAGCTGAGGTTTATTCCTTTAACATTAATATGAAATCATCGATTTTTTAAGATAATGTGAAAGATGAGCATTATCTAGATTTTACTGAATCTATTATTGCTTTCATTATGTATTATTTCTCATCGTGTAGCGAATTACTCATTAATTTTACTTATGCATTTCAATATAAATACCAAATTTATGAATTTTTTAGGATGATACGGAAGATAAATATCGATTATCATCTATGAAATTTGAGTCATATATTCATTTTATGTTGTCTTTTCTGATGTGATATCTTTTATACTTTATCTAGTTTACTAGTTATTAATGTTTCGTATTTACTTCTCAATAAACGTATCGACATAAAACAGTAAACTTTTTAAATTAAGCCATGGGAAATATGTTAACAGTATTAAATATGAACCAATACTTGGTGCTGTATGTACATCATATCAGATTCTAATTCATAGATGGCATAATTTCTTAACTTGGACCACCAGTTATTTCAACGTAACTTAGATTATATATACTTAAATAAGGTAGTAAATAGACTGCATATGACCTTAATTAAATAAGTGAAACAAATACATATCTGATCTAATTTTCTACTGTTTGTTAAAATGAAATACAATAGCACCATTTGTAATTGCTAAAATATATTTGATGAATTTTCTCTTTTACCCAGTCCTATATATCCTGACCACGTTGGATTCCTGTAGAAATATATTACAGATAACTAGAATATAAGAAAATAATACATGCTTCACATTGCAGCTACACTTTTTTGCTATAATTTTTCCGATAGCAGATACAGCCACTAATAATCAGAATTTATTAATATACCACCTAAAGTATGTAAAAAGAGCACATCTATCCACAAGCCCAATTAAATAATCTTTGGTCATCGATATTTATGCAATATCAGATAACTTGAAATATGCTTGATTTCACACATGTTAAAAAATTACAGAAATCTATGTCATTTAGCGTAATCTAAGTACAGGCGTAAAGAACTGAAAACTATAATGTATGTTCTATTCAGATACTAGTAATTAATCAGATAGAGATTATGAGCTCATTTACTTGCTCTTGTTTCTGATCAGTAATCATGATATTGATTTACTTAGATACGATTCCTACTTAGGTATCCAGAATTTATAATAATTTATCTAGTTTTATAACATGTTCTATATTATTTGTTCGCGTATTGAGAGAGACTCCATAATGCATATGATGCTCATTTAAATCTCCTGTCTGCTAGATCAATATTTGTTTTCAATTTTGCATAAGATTAAAGATATGTTGGCAATGGGCACGGTAAGCTACTTATTGAAGGCTATTACAATTGTTAACTGTGTAAATTAAATTAATTTCCGGTTACTATTTGAATCACCAAAAAATAAAAATACTTTTACCATGAAGTAAGTGAATAAAATTTGTCGAATCATTAGTAGTTTAATCTCTGATTGATTTTATCATATTTTTGAAAATTTAGCTAGAATATATATCGGTACTGCACTACGATTGATTTTAATGTCGTCAATAAGGAAACTAATGAGCTGTCTGTCTTAATAATCCTAAATCAGCAATATATAGTTAGGAAACAAATTAAACTGTTCGACTTAGTACTTATAAATTCTGCAAATTAATTTTTAAAGCCCATCTGTAAATACTTTACTGGTACGTTTTTTATAATAAATATGCTATCTATTTACAAAGAATTTAAATAAAAAAATATCGCAAACCGTAAAACTTGCTACTTTATAGGAAGTTGTTTATTCGAATTCCTAACTATTAATTAGTTTTAGGACAACATTTAGTAGATTGTATCTGATATCGATAGTTTATTGCACGAGATTTCCTATAATTTCAGTATTCTAAGCTAACATTAATTGATATTTCATTACTTACCGCTTAAGATCACGTCAATTTTAGTTCTAATAAAAGATCCATTACCATCCTCATTCCTAAAAAAGTCAGTAGTTACTTTAATAAAATCTCTCAAACTATGAAATGACGTAATATTATACGTGTATCCGGTATTTGTTTGTAAATTACATCAAGAAAATCAAAATAAATAATAACAACAATGAAATAAAAGCATAAATAGCTTAAATAGCTTATATACCAAGTAATCCTTAATACGATATAAAAATTTATCATTTATTCATAGCTCTCTGAGATCGTTCAGAATATAACTAGGCCTAATTATGAGCGCAATCTGATACAGCGAAAAATTGGAGGTTTATCCAGACATCAATAGAAACAATTGCTAAGTTTTTGATATTAAGTTTTACGTACGTTTTCATTTAATTTTCCTTCATTACTTTTGGGAGATAATAGTTTGTTACTAAGTGGTATAACTTTACTTTCATTAAGTTATTAATTGAAAAGATGGAAAGTAATATGTTCAGCTAATGGAAAGTAGCATATAATATTTTAATTTTCAAGCAAGAACTATTCCAGTAATTTTACGTCGGGATTGATATTAGTTTCAAATAAATATCTTTTACCTGCAACGAAGTTTGTTATTCTATTGCATGGAAAAAATGATCCAATTTCAATTACTACTTCTTTTAGACTTACAGTGCATACTTTTACGGCAGTAATACATGTGATAAGTATAAAAGTTTCATAATTGAACTGATCATATCAACTTTTTTGGAATAAAGCAGAGAATAATTTCCTTATTTGCAACCCAAAGCATCGAAAATATAGCAAGACGAATGTCACGGTACGAACTACCGTGAAGAAATAGCTATCTAAATTTGGTTAATATAGTATAGTGATATTATATTACAACTAGTTACTTACAATAGGAATTACTCTAATTATAAATGTGTTACAGTAAATTTATTGCTGTGCTGTAATGTGTGCTGAAATGATTCTGTGAATGGACATATTGTAGTCCGACTGTGAAAAACTAGTTAGTAGATGTTCTCACCCAAGTATTATTATAAGATGACTTGTGAATGTTAGCAGCTGTAGAAGGGTATATAAACCCGTCAGATAGTTGAATAAAGCAGTTCTCAATTGTATAGTTGTTTTAACGTAGAATCAAAGGCGTCTAAATTCTTGTAAGTAGGGATACTGAATCCCGGAGACTATAGTAATTTAGAGATTTGTTTTTACGTTATACTTGCCACGAAATTGGTTTGTGACAACGAATAAGACCGATCATCATAAATAAGGGCTATAAAATGGTCTTCCATCTTGACAGGTAATATTAAATATACTATACTTTAAAAATCAATATTCCAGAAAACGTAATTCCTAATTGGAAAGCTAACAATTTCTTAACATCAATGACGTGTAGAAGTCAATGCTAGAAAATTTCACGCAATAATATTAATCATAAATGAATGTAGAGTGAATGTAATCGAAATCAAAATAATAACGTTTAGGGTTGGATGGTCATTCCATTACGAAGGTTTCATATAATTGACAGTTTCTAGTAATTATCGTTTGCACCAAAAGCTATAAAAAAAGATTACTAATATATGAAAAATCTGATATGAAATTTCCTGTAAAATGGCATAGATTTTAAAAAGAGCAGTACGATGCAAAATTTATTTTGATAACCGCGAAAGTTATGGCCGTATTTATAACCATACTTCATCAATTTTTAATTTTCGTATAATATTAGTATGAAAGACTTCCATCTAGTGATAAAATTGATTAATTAAAATAGTGAATTTAGATATTCAGAGTTTCGTTTTTAAAATTACTTACATAATATTTGGACTGATAAAATCACTTTATGATTTATTGATAATATCAATCTACTCTATCCATCACATATGGCATTCATTAATAAGAGTCCCTAATATTCATTACAAATTGATTTCCATTTTCAAGAGTTGTAGCTTTCCCATTGCGGTCTATTAAGAGAAGCGCTATGCTACCTCCAAGATTGTAAATGGCATAAACTTACTATAAAACCACGAAAAGACATTAATGTTGTAGATTATAATCCTAAAATATTTGAAGGCTTCCATAGCAAATCATCCATTATGATAGAATAGATGCAGTTTAAATATTAAATCTAGATTGATACGTTGACGTGACTATACAGTTTGCGGTTATGGTACTGTAAACCAATATCTAAATTATTGAATGCGCTAATGTTTCTTATATGATACTGAAAATTTATAATATGCGTACATTTCTGTGATTATTCATCGATGAGTCAATTCTCAGGTTAAATAGATGACTTTTAAAGATAATTATACCTGCAATAAGACATATATTTAGAGATTGTCATAATATCACGGTAATCTCTAATGGCAATTTATAGTGACTTGTACAGGAAAGAATAAGCTCGAAAGTTTATAACTTCCGCTCAAATTTATAAGTGTTAAATACAGTAAATGATAGGCAAGATTTACAGCCGTTTCCACTCCTTCAAAGAAAGCGAGCAGAAGAGTTAAAGATTTTAGGCTCTATAACTGAAACTATGATCAGACTACAAATTAGCGCAATATGGCAATTAACTAATACTATTGCTTTTACTATTTAGCTCTTAAATTTTTACCATAATCTCTACTAACCATCTAAAATTTTATTTTCCATAACCATCTACTATTGTTATCAAGTGCATCTCCATTCAAATTAAAAGGCAATCTACCAGTAGAAACAAGCGCAATCAATTAAAATAATTCTAATATAACGCG